GATCCCACTCGTTGATACTCTCTGCTACAACCAGTTTTTTTTCTTCAGTTTTTGCTTCAAATAATGACGTTTGGTACAGTTTACTATAGATAAAAAGTGAGTGGACAGATCATTAGAAACAACCTGACATGACAATTCTTTGAATGCTTTTTGCAGTTCATATTTTCTGTATTTGTACCACCTTTTTTCTAATTTTATATTTTAATATTGTTCATTTCAATTTATTTATATAGCGCCAAGTCACAACTGAAGTCGTCTCAGGGCACTGAACAGAAGCATTCATTTAAAAAAATAATAATTTAACATTATTTATCTGAGGAGCAGACTGCTTTGAGTTCAACTCCATCACAGAGCTCTCATCTTGAGCAAGCATGAAGGCGACAGTGGAAAGGAAAAACTCCCTCATGGGGAAGAAACCTTTAGCAGAACCAGGTTCAGGACAAGAGGACCATCTGCTTCAACTGGTTGGGTTTGGTAGGAACAGATACACAATGGCAGGTGAAGAATCACATGTTAAGATAGAAATAGTATCTGGTGTAGAGGCAGGGCAGCTGGCCCGGGACCCAAAAGTCCCAGGTTCGATCCCCGGTCACTGCACACCTCGTGGTGTCTCTGGTCAGCACACCTCATCCCCAAAATACCCCCCAGGTGCTTTCAATAGCTGCCTACTGCACCACCTGGTGGTGGATGGGTTAAATGCAGAGACTAATTTTGCCATTGTATGGAAACATATTGTGATGACATTATTATTATTATATAAATGAAAACTATTCAGTTTTAACAAATCATTTAAGGAAATGAGGTAAGTTTATCCTTTAGTAGTCCAAGTCTATAGCAGCATAACAAGCCAACCCTAACTATAGGATTTATCAAAATGGAAAGTCTTAAAACTGGACAATGTGTCAGCCTCACGGACAGAAACTGGAAGTTGGTTCCACAAAAGAGGAGCCTGAGAACTTAATTCTAAAGTTTGCTGATTATTTTCCTTTTAAACTTTGTCTCTTTGATGGCTGCATCTCGCCTAAAGTCTTGAGAGTTGATCTTTCACACCGGAAGATCACTTCCTGTAAATGGGATTTTCTATAACCCACTTGATGTTGAACAACACCAACTACCCCTCCTTTTTACCAATAACATCGATTTGTGAAAAGTCAGCTGTGGCGATGCTGGAAGCTACTGAGTCAGCTCTGTATACAGCTGCAGAAAAACACGCTCGGAGCTGAAAACCTGGTAACTTGTCACATCTGACAGTCCAGATGATTGAAAGCGCAGCATGACGGATAGGAATGTGTTCGACACGCTCCTTCTGGATATTAACAGCACAGTGATTTGACCTTTTCTCTCTTGTGTAAACTAAGAGAGGAACATGTAGTCAGAGCTGAGACTTAAATGTTTCTCATACCTGTTGGCACCAAGCTGCGCCGTGTGCTCAACTTTAGATTTATGTCGCGGCCGAACGGCGACGTGCGCCCCGTCCTCTCCTGCTAGAGGTGTCGTGAAGCATGCTCGGTGTGAAAACTAAACTGAAATAGCCGTCATTTTTAAAGGTTATTTCATGCTCGAGCTGCATGATTGTCAGTGAGCGTCCGTGTGATGATTTGTGTGAGTAAGAGCCGTGGGGTGGAGGGTGGGAGGGATGATCGATGCCGGTGTGAGAGTTCATGCAGGAGTTGACATTTACAGCCCCTGTTCAGGCCTGGCTTGCTGCGGCCTGGGGGGCTTTTCGTAACGGAACAAAACTTCAGGGGCCAGCAGGAATTGAATTTCATTTGTAAAAAGAGAAAAAGAGAGGTGGGATGAGGGAGATTCAAAAGCTAAAGTTTATTCGTTAATTCAAACATAGTAATATCTGGTTGAATACTCTACCATATATGCTGTGGCTTCTAATGCAGAATTAAAAGTGTGAAATATAAACTAAAATAATAGCAAAAAGATAAGATTATGGGTAGATAAGATAAAACTTTTTATTGATACCGCAGGAAATTGTTGTTCCAGAGTTTCAATACAGAGGAACATGCACAAGGAATCACACAAGAAATAAAATAATAACAGAGAATATAAAAATACCAACAATTAAGTTCTAAAACAGGTCAGGTGCAGACAGAAACATTAAAAGTGTTTATTGTAGTGCAGGATTAATTTTACTGTCCTATGTGTGGCAAAGGGAAGGAGTTGAAATGATAGCCACAAGGAGGAAGGAGCAAATAAACTTATAATGACTATTAATGTTAAAGAAATGCATTGATTATTAGGCCTGTTGCAATAAACAATAAATCAATTAATAGCATGATAAATAAAAATTATCAACCTCATTTTCGTTTATCGGCTTTGTTTCTTCGTGTCTCTTTTTCTACTGAAGACACTGGATGACAAAAGGCTCAACTCTGGTGTTCTTCACTGACTCCTCCCTTTCTCGTCTCTCTTTAAAATCCATTTTAACCGTCCAAAATCGCGTTTTTTGGATCGTTAAATGCAGCTAAGCTGAGAAGCTAAGCTACGAGCTAAGCTAACAGGCCGACCTCGAGAAAAAACCTCCGTCTTGTCGAAGCTCCAAAATTCACGGTTGAACCTGTGCCTTCGTCTAAAAAGTTGCTTTTCTCTGCAAAAACAAGATGAGAACTTGTTTACTGATTTTTTTATTAAAAGCTTTGTGTGAAAAATGCTATGCTAAAGAGCTCAAACCACACCGAGCGTCCGCCATTTTGAGAACCGAAAAATAGGAAGGAGAAACAGCCCACGTCACGTCAAGGGGCCTCCCTCCCATTTTTCTTAAAGAGACGCGCTGCTCGCTCCCTCACTATCCATCCTTTGGTTCAAATCATTTAATATTGCCATCCAGTGGTCGAAAAAATGTACTACACACAAAAATTAACCTTTTTTTTTTTTTAAATTAACAATTATTAATTATTGTCAAATTTCAAACAATATCATCGTTTATCGCAATAATTTATGAGACAATTAATCGCCCAGTAAAATTTGTTATCGTGACAGGTCTGTTGATTATATGTGAGCTATTTTTTTTTTATTGTAATATGAGTATTTAGCTAGCTTTTATCTGTGCCAGAGTGAGTTCAATCAAAAGCTTTGTTATTTTATCATTATTCAGAAATAAGAAAACTCCTTAAAATTAATAAAGAAATGTCTTCTGTAATAATAATACAAAGACATTTAGTTACCTTTGTTTATTCAAAATAGTTTTTTAATGAAACTGAAACCTTTTCTGTTGCGTTTCAGCTGTTCGTGTACACGGCAGCCTCTGACCGTTGGTTACGTACTGTGAACCCAGATTCTACTTCATATAGGCTTCATCCTTTAAGCTTTTTGAATCCAGCTCTCAGAGTGGAAATGTGGACATTTGTGACGTAGCAGCGGATGGATCTAGCAGGGTTTTTTCAGTGTTGTCGATCAGCAGTCAGCATCACCGTCTTCACAATCGACACCTCGAACATTTCCAGGAGATCGTTCTCGTGTAAACTCAGTGCTCTTGTTGAGCGTCCTCTGGGTCTGATAAACTGAGTTACCGAGACACTGCAACACCCACATATTAAGCAGCATTTTATTCTAACTCCTGATGTTGTCATGTTTTTCCACTCACTTCCTGTGCCGGACCATCCTCCCCCACTCTTCGGAGCGAGATGTGTAACCCCTCCTTTTTCAGGACTTAGCTTGCCCAGATTCCATGTCAAAGGTCGTGGCCCAGATGTCACAGCTTCCCCCCTCTCAGAGCTCCTTTTGCGCATAATTACGGCAGGTCCATTGTATTTTGGGGCTGGGAAGAGGTGCTCTAAATGCCCACTCCCCTTTAGAAGTGGACACCAGACCTTAACAAATAATAACATTTAAAATAATAAAATAAAACTCTGGATAACAAGAAATACTTTGTACACAAAGTTCAGTCCATCTGTTTGTTTTAGGAACCAATAGCGATTTTTGTGTTTCCAGATGATGCTACTAGTTGTTTTGGGTTTTGAAACTCCAAGGACCAGTAGCTCAAAGGTCAATTCACTGATAAACTTTTTAAAAAAGTATTGTTTTTAATCAATTTCACATCTAACTACTACTGAGGTGTAGGATTCAAAGACAGAAAAAAAAAATCCTCATCTCATATTTCACACCCACCATCCTGGATTCTTTCAGTTTTATCTCAACCTGACCTGCTGGCCCTGGTGTGGAAACTCCTCGGGGCTCAAGCAGTTTAGCCCCGCCCCTCCTAAACTTCTCCTCCTCCACAGAAACTAATTCACCTCCTGTGGCTTTCCTTTCTTCTCACACCCTTACATCAACCAAGGAGCGTTTTTTGTCTTCTTCAGGGTGTTACCTTTCATTCAACCTTTATTTATACAGGTCAGTCTCGATGATTACCTGTAAGAAAAAAGTTGAATGTGCATATTTTTTGTCTCACAAACAATAATGAAAAGTGGCATCACTTTTATATTTTAAAAATTCTTGAACTGATGTCAGAAAATACACCAAATTTTGGCTAGTTTTTACCTTTTAGGCAACAATTGCACGTTGGTTATGATTCTTTCATGCAGAAACGGGTCAGTTGGTCAGATGACTATTGTTGAAGGGTGGATCTTCAGGGTCAGAGGCCTGCAGCCGTCTGCAGGGTCCCTCCCAGGGGATTTGGCCTCTCAGTTTGACCTTTGAATTCAGAACCTGAGCAGAAATGACCACTGACCAGCAGGCCTGACCAGGGCCAGAGAAATGGTCTTTGTTGTTTGCAGTGTGACAGAGTGATGGATAGTGAAGTTCCTCTGTTCCGCTGCCATGAGCGCTGCTGAAACTGACCAAAGGACTCGTGTCACCAGGCATCTGTCACTGCTTCACCTCTTGTTCCCACCTCGCCATCGGACCGGCCTAACCCCAAACCCCCACGGTCCAGCTCCTTTTCAAATAAAACCCCACCGAACTCTGGCCTTAGAAATCTGTGTCTTGACTCAATTTATGGTGAGCATAAATCCAGTCTGAATGTTTTTGTGTTCTTCTTCTCATTTTAGACCCAAGAAAAAAGTACCACGTCAAGCTTCTGGCTTATAATGTTGTTGGAGACGGGTACCAAGCAGACCAGACGATCAGCACCCCTGGATGTGTCTGTAAGTGCAGAGTTAAACTAGAAGTTTAGGCGCATTTCTTTATATCGTTTAGGGTAAAGTGAAGCATAAATCTAAACATGCTTTACCTCAGCTGTCCGAGATCGCCTGGTGCCCCCTCCACCTCCACCAAACAATGTGCAGGCCCGGGCCAACAGTTCCAGCACCGTGTTCCTACAGTGGGGCCGACCTGCCTTCACCTCGAGCAACGCGGTCAACTTCACTGTCCGCTGCAACCCCGTAGGCCTGCAGAATGCCTCGCTGGTGCTCTACCTTCAGACGTAAGGACTTCTTCACAGCACAAGCTGATTCTCAGCGCGTTTTCGTTTGTTTTTGTTTCCTCAAAAACTCTCATGTTTTGGGCCTTTTGAACTTGCCATGGTTCCTATTTTTGCTAGTAATGGTTTCAGAGTCATGCAGCACGGTGGCACAACTGGTAGAGCTGCTGCCTCTCAGCGAGCAGGTCCTTGGTTCAAACCCCAGTCCAGGGGCCTTTCTGGGTGGAGTTTGCATGTTCTCTCCGTGCATGCGTGGGTTTTCTCCGGGTACTCCGGTTTCCTCCCACAGACCAAAAACATGCATGTTAGGCTGATTGGTAACTCTAAATTGTCCCTAGGTGTGAGTGAGAGAGTGAATGGTTGTTTGTCTCGTTTGTCTCTATGTGGCCCTGTGATGGACTTGCGACCTGTCCAGGGTGTGCCCCGCCCCTCGCACAGTGATTGCTGGACATGGGCACCAGCGACCCCCGTGACCCAAAATACCATACCATACCAATTTATTTATATAGCACTTAAAACAGCAACAAGGCCAACCAAAGTGCTGTACAAAAGAACCAAACATGCACAGCAGACAGGAAAACATAAAATAGAAATACAGGTACAAATAGCAGCAGAAGCTAACTAAAATGGCCAACAGAGTAGAGAACAGACCGGACCAAAACAAATCACACCGTGATTGGAACACGGATGGAACAAACGGGTAAAGAAAATGGATGGATGGATGGTTTCAGAGTCAGAGTTTCTTTATTGTCGTTCACTCACCCAGCACACACACCTTTTGCCCCACTCCCCTCAGGAAGGAGGTTGAGGAGCACTAAGTGTTGAACCACTAGACTGAGGAACAGCTTCTACCCTGAAGCTGTTAGACTCATGAATCTCTAACCAGAATAATCACTGTGAAAAATCACATCATGTTGCTGCTGATCTGTTTCATGTTGCTGCTGATTTGTTTCATGTTGCTGCTGATCTGTTCCATGTTGATGTGTTCATGCGTGCTCATCTGCTCACACAGACTCATGCTCATGTTTGTGCTGATGTTCGACGTAATGTTTTTATGTTATTAGTGCTTAGTGTATTTTTATTTGATGTTTTTCTTAGTTCATATCTTAGATGTTATTACTGTTTTTCTTTTACATTTTATTGTTGGATGTAACTGGGACCCTGTGTACATAATTTCGCTCCACCACATGTACCACATGTGGTGCAAATGACAATAAAGAATCTCTGACTCTCTTACTCTGACCACATGTGGTACATGTGGTGGAATGAAATTATGTACACAGGGTCCCAGTTACATCCAACAATAAAATGTAAAAGAAAAACAGCAACAAGATATGAACTAAGAAAAACAACTAAATACACACTGAGCACTAATAGTACAAAAACAATACGCCGAACAGCAGCACGAACATGAGTCTGTGAGCAGATGAGCACGAATGAACACAGCAACGTGAAACAAATCAGCAGCGACATGAAACAGATCAGCAGCAGCATGATGTGATTTTTCACAGTGATTATTCTGGTTAGAGATTCATGAATCTAACAGCCTCAGGGTAGAAGCTGTTCCTCAGTCTAGAGGTTCTACACTTAATGCTCCTCAACCTCCTTCCTGAGGGGAGCGGGGCAAAAGGTGTGTGTGCTGGGTGAGTGGGGTCCTTCATGATGCAGGTGGCCCTCTTCCTGCATCTTGAGGTGTAGATGTCTGTGATGGTGGGGAGGTTGACTCCCAACAGACTTCTGTGCAGTCTTCACCACGTTGATGATGTATGATGAAATATGTAGTAAACACAACTCTGGTCACATGTGGGACCATTGTTGATTGGCTGGCGCCTCGATCCATCCAGCCATCCATCCGTTAACTTTACCAGTTTCTTCCTTTTTGGGTCACGAGAGTCACTGGTGCTCATGTCCAGCCATCACTGTGCGAGAGGCGGGGACCCCCTGGACAGGTCTCCAGTCCATCACAGGGCCATTTCTGATTACTATTGTTTATTGCTCTATCATTTATTGAGGGGTTTAAAGAAGGACATGCTTTTATTTACTGTAAAACACATGCAGATTGTGTCATTATGTCAAATTCCAGTGTGAAGTCAGCTGAATATAAACATTGAACACAGCATGAAAGCTTTCCCCTTCAGTTTCTCTGGGCTGCTTCTCAGCAGAGCTCCACATTGCCTCCTTCTGGACATTTTTTTAAATGCTGCCACTTCAAATGAATGAGAAGCATCTCTATCTTTTCAAAACATTGACGTCAGTCAGTTTTCCTTGATGTTTTGGTTTGAAGTCTGCTGTGTTTAGCTCCTTATCTGCTTGAAGTTATTGGTTTTTCTAAGTCTGTCACATCTTTACCCTGCAGGAGTAAGCAGAGCCTCTTTGTGCAAGATCTGGAGCCCAACACTAAGTATGAGTTTGCTGTACGCCTCCACACTGACCAGCTCTCCAGCCCGTGGAGCCCCGTGGTCTATCAGACTACTTTCCCTGAAGGTAGGCATAAAATCTTTTGGCATCTTCCTTTTGTGTTTGTTGTCTTGTTTGTTAACTTGACCGTTTTATCCATCGTGTACCAGCTCCAACGAGACCTCCGTCCAACATCAAAGTGACCCTGATCGAGGCGGACACAGCGCTTGTTTCATGGAAACTCCCAGATGAACCGAACGTAGCTGTGACACGCTACACAATACTGTACGCATCTAGAAACGCCTGGATCGCTGGGGAATGGAAAGTGCTGCAAAGAGAAGGTAGGAAGGAGAATGGAAGGATGTGCACAGGCTGTATTGGTGTGCACTGAAGGGGGGACGCTCAGCATCTTCATCACTTATCCTTCCTGTCTAATTTCATCCTCTTGTGATCTCAGAATTTATCTTTGCCTTTGACCAGCTGAAAGGTCTAATGTGATTACAAGCAATGTTGTCTTTGTTATTTTTCCATGCGTTCAGCAGCCATTTTTCCAGCTTTGATGGAACAGCTTGGCTTTGGTTATGATCCTGTATGGAGTCGTGTAATATTGTGCACACATAGAGATTTGAAGCAAAGTATCACAGTTGAGTAATCTAAAGATTTTGTGGGGGTTTTAGTGTGTGGTGCTGCAGAGGTGTCTTTATGTCAGATGACCCCAGAAAACTCACATGAAAGACACACAACCCCCCTCTGCCACTGGTAACGAGGTCAAAAGTAACACCGTTCACAAAGCCCCTCCAGCCCCCTCTTTCCTCTGACCGAACCTCCTGAAGTCCCTGCAGGGACACGGATGGTGAAGAAACTGGGTGGGATCTGTGAATAGCTCTGATCCCCTGACCCCCAGCTTTTCTCTTCAGATACTCCTCCAGTTTTTTGGGGGGGTCTTTTCCTCTGTAGCTTCGAGTAGGTCAGCTCAATGTGTGTGTCTTGAAACAGTCTTCCTAACGTGCGTTCACGTTTTCTGTCCTCCGCTGCTCACCGTAAAGTTATCAAGTGTTACAAAAGTATAAATTAAACAAAGAAAGCGTCCTTCCCTGTTCGCTGTTTAAACAGTCGCACATGGGGAAGGTCTAATTAGTATTGACCACAGCCGAGTTTATTTTTTACTTTGCAGAGAAGTAAAGAGTTCAGATTTCAGTTAGCCTGTTAACTTGAGAGGCATGTAGCTAATGACAAGCAGCTTGGAGGATTGAAGAGAATTTATTATTGTTGATTTATTTTACAGATCAGTTCAAATAAACTTGCCATGCTCTGTTCAGCAAAATATGCTACACAGGATTGCTCCCTGCTTCACAAGCGTGCAGACTTGAAAGTAGTCTTCGTGCGCCCTCTACTGGATACTTTGTACAATTACCTGTATGCCTTTTGCAAGTAAGGGCACGCCGGCTGGACACTGGGAATGGCTTGTTCCCAGTGTTCATATCAGCGCTTAATGGGACATTTATCACAGATACTGATATGTCCCCAAACACCTATGTGCCTCGCTCAAGGTGAAAACAATGGGGGGGCCGGTCCTTTTCTGTTGCAGGCCCAACAGCCTGGTTCTGTTCAAAGCCAAATTGAAGACCTATTTATTTAAAAGGGCTTTTGATGTTTAACTTTTAGTATTTTAGCATTTTTTATCTCTTTTGCCTTCTTTTATTGTGGCTGTGTTTTTAATTTGCACTGATTTATATTGTGCCGTTTTTATTTGTTTTATCTTGTTAAGCACTTTGGTCAATCAAGGCGTTGTTGGAAGTTGCTATATAAATAAAGTTTACTAATATTATTATTATTATTATTATTTTGGCCCTACCGATATATCGATCGGGCTCTAGATTCTAATGAACTGTTCAAGCCTTGTGTATGTTTCTATTATTTTGATAAAACCCAGGTGAGTAAGATAAAAAAGAGCACTTGTTTGTTTCAACAATTTATTCACGAAGGGTTAAATCTCCCCACAGGGAGCATCACCATGGCACTGCTGGAGAATCTGAGCCCCGGCCAGGTTTACTTGGTGAAAGTTTCTGCTTCCAACAACATGGGCGATGGACCGTTTTCTAATGCCGTGGAGCTGACCGTACGATCGGACCTCTCTTCTAGTAACGATGTTGGGCTCTCTCGCAGTTCCACGCACTCTACAGGTTGTTCAATCACAATAGTTTGTATTTTGTTGTGAAACCGGGCTCTCTGACAGTGTTTCTGTGGGATCCATCACAGGCTTTTCTGACGGTTTCTACCACCTGGACCAGACATCAATGACAGGCATCACTGTGGGAGTCTGCATCGCCCTCATCTGCATCATTATCTGTGCTTTCATCATCGTCTGCAGAGGCAAAAACAGGTGCTTAACGTCCCTGAACACTGACAACAATAATTACTTTCCTCCATGATCCTAGTTATCTTGAGTGACTCATGTCATGTTTGTTTCCCTGCAGGAAACTTTCAGCTGCGAAGATCTATAGAGAAGAGTTGAGAACAGCTGCTGCAGCTTCAGCTCATCGAGGAGCTGAGGAACCGGACCAGAACTCTGAGCTGACCATGCCCATGATGAGTCAGAGACATTTCATTGATGCCAAGGTACAGCAAACTAATCAAGAACAAAAAAAAAATTAAATTAGTCTGCAATCGGACGTTGTTGAACATTTTTCTCAATAAGAAATCATTTTGTCACAGGGTGGAACAAATCTCATCATCAATTCTCTGGGCCCCATTCAGTCTACGCTGGAGAAGAAAAATAAATGGTCTTTCTTCAGATGTGATGTGAAAAACGACATTAAAATTTTGCAGGTAAGATTAGAAGCTTTATGATTTATTAAGAGGCGGGAAAACGGATTTACTCTAGATTAAAAACGTTAAGAAGCGTGAACACTGACTAACTCTCTCCGGGCTGTAGAATAAGGAGCACGACGCCATTTCCTACCAACCAGGAACCACGGTGTTAACATACGAACAAGAGCTGTCGGTTTCTCCAAACCAGCCCATCCCCCTGCAGGACCTGCTCCGAAGTACCGACGATGTGGAGGGATCGTCTAGCAGCGAGGGCAGCCATGAAACCGGCGACTCGGGTCGATACTCTCATGACGAGACGGAGCTGGCCAATTTGTCCTCTGGTCCCAACAGCCGCCCGCTGACTCCGACATCGGAGGACAGAGGAGACGGCGGGCGTTCTGCTGCGGAGCCGAGCGAGCTGTCGGAGGAGAATCACGCTGACCTGAAGGGAAAAAAGTCTGTCGATTCTGGTTGCAGTCATCAGGAAGCCCATAGCAGTTCTCAATCTGCACATTGTATGTAGGTGTGTCTGAGTGTGAGTGTGAGAGAGAGGGAGTGATGGCAGTGAGACTTGCGTAAAGAATGAACTAAAGGAACAAAACCGTAGGAAAAATGGCAGAAATTATTGAACTTTGGGACGTCATAAACGCGTAAAAAAAGATTATTTAGAAGTATGGCACCGCTCTTGCATCATTTGGTAAAACAAACTCAGCCAGCAGTGAGTTAGGTTTAGGTTTATTTGTCATATGCAGGTCAACACAAGGTCAACAATGAAATGAAATGCTCAGGACAAGGAGAACCGTCTCGACTTGCCAAAAAAGAAACAAGAAAAACCAAAACATGCAACAAAAATACAAAAACAAGGCACCGAAAGTGAAAAACAAATGCATCTACAGCAGCATGGTCCTATTAGCAGAGTGGTTCTGTTAGCAGCATGGTCCTATTAGCAGAGTGGTTCTGTTATCAGCATGGTACTGTTATCAGCATGGTACTGTTAGCAGTGGGGTGCTGTTAGCAGCATGGTACTGTTAGCGGCGTGGTCTTGTTAGCAGTGTGATTCTGTTAGCAGTGTGGTTCTGTTAGCAGTATGGTACTGTTAGCAGTTTTTTCTGTTAGCAGCATGTTACTGTTAGCAGTGTGGTTCTGTTAG